AACACATTAATTATATTTTTAGAGTCAGTAATACTGACTCGCAGCCCAAAAGTGATAGTTATTAAAGGTCGATTTTCTTCCGTCTTATTTTAATAAAAAAAAAAAAGATTTGTTACTTTGTTTAGACGGTTAAGATTATTTATTTTGAGGTTAAGTTACGTCAGGGTCATTATCATAAGATTGTCGTTGAAGCTTTCATATCATGAGCTTTTCTCTAAATTAGAAATTAAATTAAAATAATTCGAAGTGGTCTATATTTAAATACGTAATCCTAAAATGTAGCATCGTGCTACAGATGGCGTTCACTGTGCCGTTTGTAGTATTTTTTAGAAATTAAATTATTTGAAAACAGCAATCTGATCAAGTTCTATATCTTCTGTCCCTCTTTACTCCTATTGCTGCCACTAATATATATTTCTAACACTTCATGACTCAGAAGGTGACCTAGCATCCTGTTTCATTTATTCCTTATAACTGATAAAAAGAAAAGGTTAGAAGCGTTCGAAATGTGGTGTTACAGGCGAATATGAGGATACCGTGGATAGAGAAGGTTAAAAATGAAGAGGTATTAGAAAGAATAGAACAGAGAACTGTATGGAAGTCAATAAGAAATAGGTGGGATAGGTTGGTAGGACATCTTCTCAGGCATGAAGGTCTAGTCAGAGATATATTAGAAGAAGAAACAGGAGTTAGGAGGGGTAGACGTAGACGTAGATTAGATTACTGTTCGCAAATAGTTAAGGATGTGGGATGTTCTAGTTTTAGGGAAATGCGAAGATAGGAAAGAGTTGAGGTGCGTGTCCTACCAGTCCTAGGACTGATGATCTTATGATGATGATGATGATAATGATGAACTGATTTCCATAAGGCCTCCTCATTGTAAGACCTCCTCATTGTAAGCCTTCGTCATTGTAGGACCTCCTCATTGTAAGACTTCCTCATTTTAAGACCTCCTCATTTCTAACCATTCAAGTACCTTATACTATTTTGTTCGCTAAAAGCTCAATTTATGCGTTGGAGGAACGCTCAATTTATGCACTGGTGTAGGTTAACTTATCGACTTTTCATAACTCTCACAATTAACAACATGGTAAGTTTTCATGTATGATAGAAAATTTCAGCAGTTAAGACAATTATTGTGTCTGTAAATAAAAAAAAATGTGCATAGAAGAATTATTATTAAGAGAATTATAAAGAATTATAAAGAATTATAAGAATAAGAATTATAAAAACATAAGTATCAGATTAAGTAAGCAAGACCAAGACTTAACACGTAAGACCAAAACCGAGGCTGTATCAGTAAGACCAAGACCAATAACAGGACTTGGTCTTGCTTTGGTCATCACCAATTCATAAAAGTAGGCTGATGAGGGCCCACCCGCATTCCTTGCGGAAATGGAATACTTCGTAATAACCAAATAAAATTTTGTAACAAAGAAAGATTAGGTACGATGTCTCTACTTAATATGTGTATGTTTACATCTTGAGATACTCGTCATAAGGTATTACGAAGAATAGCACTCTTTATCAAGTAAGCATACATAGGTCTGGGACATTTCGCATGTAGTATGTAAATTATATCTGATGGAGACATTCGTTTTTATTTTAGTTGTAAATAACGCTGACGTTAATGGTGTCCGTATGCAACACTAATTACAGCCAGAAATGTACACATATTAGTTTCAACTTCTTGCGTTCGAAGCAGTTGATGGCTATCGTAAAAATTTGCAACCTTTTCGTTCGTCTTAATGGTACGAATAATTATTACTTATTAACAATAAGCGAATTCAAAGTGCAAAAGTTAATTTTCACAATAAAAAATGATTAGGTAAGGTATCTTCAATGTTTTTAACGCTTCCATTAAACGCGCTAAATAAGTTTTATTATTTGATTGATAAATGTGATGTTTATGTACGTTTCAATTTTTATGCCGTGATGGATTTATGGATACAGATATAGAGGGACAAAAGGGGGCTTAGATTTGTAGGTGATAAGCAGTATTAACATCCAGCAAAGAGGAGTTAGAAATGATTTCAATAAAATGGAAGCAGTATTGACAAAACAGTATTGTATGAAAATAAATAAAAGTAAAATAATATAAAGATAGGAGATGAATGATTAGAAAACGTGTCTGATTTTAGGTATCTAGGAAGTTAGATAAGTCAGGACGGAAGGAGTAGTAGGGATATAAAACAAAGGATAGAGCAGGGTCGAGTCGCCTTCAATAAAAAGAAGTCACTTCTATGTTCGCGAACGGTTAATTTAGGAATTCGAAAAACATTGTTAAAGGTGTATGCTTGAAGAACGACGCTGTACGGGTGCGAAACATGGACGGTGGACGCGGCGGATAAGAAAAGGTTAGAAGAATGCTTGATGAGGATACCGTGGATAGAGAAGGTTGGAAATGAAGAGGTATTAAAAAGAATAGGAGAACAGAGGACTCTATGGAAGTCAATAAGAAATAGGCGAGATAGGTTGGTAGGAAACCTTCTCAGGCATGAAGGTCTAGTCAGAGACATATTAGAGGCAGAAACAGGACTTAGGAGGGGTAGAGGTAGACCTAGATTAGATTACTCTTCGCAAATAGTTAAGGATGTGGATGTTCTAGTGCTACGAAAATGCGAAGATTATCTCAGGATAAGAAGAAGTGGAGGTGCGTGTCCAACCAAGTCCTAGGACTGACGACCTTATGATGATGATGATTTATAATATGAACTTTTTGATATTTGTGGGAATTGATATAAATGGAATACAATGACGGCTGGTATAAGGTCACAGGAGCATGCACCTACACTTTGCTTGTAAAAGAAAATAATTATCAAAAAAATAAAAGCCTGCTTTAGAAAATCTTACAGTATAAGTAGTTGATAGGAATGAAACACTTAAGTTTTTAGTTTTTTCCTTAAAAAAATTTAGTTGCTCTCTAACAGCCCTCTAGAAAGGAGTAAAATGTGTAGCCATTCAAATACTGTAATATCGCGAATCGAATTTAATTTTGGAATTATGTAACGTATGAAAAATGATGCGAGCCGATGGATGCTTTGACCCATCAGAGGAATAATAATAATTGTTTTATTAATAGTTTCGGTATCTTTGAACAGTACAGTAGAGTATGCTGTTTAATTTATTTATAGCCAATTATAAAAGACAGCATAATTGTGTATCTTTGGGAGAAAATTGGTCAACTTTTCACACAATGTTCACAGCGCCTATACAAAATACTCAATTAAAATACAACATTTGTACATTTACTACATCGTTTTTCATCTGATTATGAGCCCGAATCACAAAAGGTTGTATTTATTTGGCACCCCTATCCAATATGACTGGCATTATAAACTCTATATTAGATCAGTATAAGTCACTACATTTTATCTTTTAGTCTAGAAAAAAAATAAATTATAGAGAATTTGGTCTATACAATATTCCAAATAGTATAACACAAAATCATAATTATGTTAACGATTGATTATTTAGTAATTTTTGGGTGGCCATGTACCTAGTACGTCCCTCCGTCGTCATATTTCGCCATGCTACCCAAAGATACTCCACCCCCACCCTCCCGGCGTGACGTAAGGCGTCACACACAAAAGCCAAAAAAATACTTCCTTATTAGTGCAATAAATGATAATGTCTACCGAAAAGTAAATAAGTGATAATAAAAGTTTACAACATACATTATTACACGTTATGTATCATTAATTACTGTTAGCAGAATGAAGCACATATAATATATTTAGGTAACGTATATTAGTCATAATTATACAGTAAGTAGGTATCACATATAACAGAATTTAATTTTAAATGAAAAACGTACTTATAAAAAAGCATTATAGCCAATTATGTATTATATTTGAATATTGCGATATAACATACTACAGTATTGAAAATGTTAAGTATTACAAGTTATTAAATGTATATTTTATTTTTATGTAAACTGCAACTGTTTAGACCAGTTATCAACTTTTTTTAATATTAATTGAATCTTGTTTATAAATTAACGAACATTCCTTCACGACTTGGGTGAATATCGACGACGTGGGTTCGCAAATCGTTTATATTTTGCTTCGAATTTATTCACAAAAACTCTAAAATAGAAAGAAGTCAATAATTCCAATATGCTTGTTTAACATAAAATATAGCGGGTATCGGAGTTCATAGTTATTTTCGACATTCACGCCCAGTTCGCAGCCCATTTCACCGTAATAATACTGTTTGTTGCAATTGCAATAATTTTTTTTATTTAACTAAACTTGAATATTAACACATATTGTAATTTGCTACGTTTCGTCAACTATTTATTATTGACTTCATCAGGCGAAGGTAATATAGATAGATTATACACGTTGTCAATAAATTAAAAACTATTTTATAACTATAGACGTATATAAGCTTTAAGGTAACTAAATTCTTTTTGTTAAAATTATAGATAAATTTTAATGAGGCATTTATAATTTATTCATTCATGTCATCTCAAAAGGTTAGAAGCGTTCGAAATATGATACCGTGGATAGAGGTTAAAAATGAGGAGGTACATATAGGCGAGATAGGTTGGTAGGACACCTTCTCAGGCATGAAGGGCTAGTTAGAAACATATTAAAAGCAGAAACAGGAGTTAAGAGGGGTAATGGTAGTTCCAAATTAGATAGGGTGTTTTAATGTTAGGGAAATGCGAAGATTAGTTTAGGAGAGGGTAGAGGTGCGTGTCCAACCAGTCTTAGGACTGACGACCTTTTAATGACGATGAATGTCATCTCAGTAAAAGGCACCCTTAATTTTATATTTCAAATTTTGATTTTCCTTTCTGGTTTTACTTGAAAATGTATTTACCTAAGTATACTTTTCTCATTCTATATTTTCTCGAAAATAAAGACGATCTTTTTTATACGTCTCCTGTGCTGCATCAACCCCCAAGACGTACGACAGTTATTACTATTAAATATAAAAATTCGTGCGCAAGAGTGCGACGCCCTGCGTCGCGACGCTCGCGCATCCCTTACCTGAACAACATGTTGCAAATTCCCGCGTGTTCTTCCTGTCCCTCCTATCAATAATCACGTGCGCAACCACCACAAATGTTTCACCATAATATCACTTCGTCACTAGATCATCCCTTACGCCAAACCGCAGCCTCCTGCGTTCACCACTCTCGCTCGCAATTCGGTTGCACTGCACGGAACCGCGACGTATGCAACCAGTAAAGAGAAACGAAAGAAAAACTGCGAAAACTCGCGAAAAATAATCGAAACTTTGGAGATGAGTTATAAAAAAGATCGTAGCATGCACGTGGTGTTGCTCGCTCGAAGCAATCAGCGGCAGCCTTTCCGTCAAGTGGGCAATGCGCGACTACCGCCACCTTCGATGCCGGCCGGCTCGCTTACTTGGCTTGCTACGATCCGTCGTCGCCGTCGTTAACGCCATTGACGGCGGGGATGCACGTATATTACAAGCAAAATGAAACGGAAGGAAGACAACATCTCCTCCTATTCACTATTGACCAGTTTGCTATCCATGGTTATGCTTCTGTTGCCCCTGTGTGCAGCGGTCTCAATTTCGAAATTTCGATATCCTTTGTAGTTGGCCACGAATCTTCAAGGATAATATATTCCTAAGTGGACATTTCCATAATTTCGCCATTTGCTTAAAGCAGTGCGATTCGGGTTTAAAATTTCGGAGATCATCATTGGAGCATTCAGGTTAACTAGTAATAAAAATTAATCGAGCCCAGTTTACAACGTTGTTGGACGCAATACATCATAATTATTCAATCATCGAATAGTTATACTTTATGTGTTCATTTACGTTTACTTCTAATCCAGAGTAACAGGCACCGCAACTTCGACCGTCGATCCTGATCGGCCATCAGATCTGTCGCTCAATGATTTCATGAGATTGATCGCTTATAAATGATCCAAATTGTATTTTCAATACTGAAGAAAAAAATCGCTGTTTTAAGGAAGAAGTATCAAGAATATATGAACATGTTTACGTATAGTTAAACTATAGTTTGATAAACTATAAATTAACATCTAGTTCGATTGAGGTGGTTGCAATTCTCAGATAATTTTCAAGGTGTCCATTTTATTCGTCTGGTTCTATTTTGTACTATTCAAGGGAATGAATTATCTAGATGATCTGTTAGCTTCTCTGGCTCACTTTTGAGTCGTACTGATATTGCTTTGAGCTCCATACTTTCAGTCTAGGGTTTGCGGTATTAAAATTGACACATTCCTAGATTAATCGTAATTGATTTATCATTTCAACATCGAAACATAACTATTCTAGTAAATTGTCCGAAACTTATACTTTTTCAATTCGATCATATGTCAGTTTTTTATTGCTTGATTTTTCCAAATTTTCTTCATTTGCATTTGATACGTAAAGTTTCATTCGAGCTTATTTAAGTTTAAAACGAACTTATGTCGGAGATTAAAAGTGGTACAGTAGTCAGGGTATTAATGTAGATAGATAATTTTCATGACTGCGTGTCAGTTGCATCCGTGAGAATAATTTTTCTCCATACCATGAATATTGTAAGTCGCTCAAATGCTGTCATGTGAACCGAAGTAACAAACACTTATTATATACCCGCATTATAGATTTTTGAACAAATGCTGAATGGAATCATTAAGTACATGTATTTGGGGTCAAGATTACTTTTATTTTTTGTCATTCGTAAGTCAATAAACATATATATAATACTAAAAGCTGCTAAAACTCGGCAACTTCATGAGGGCTATGAGGCATGATAACCTTCCATCCCGCGTCTGTGAAAAATGTTTCAGTTTTTAGCTGGAGCGGTTGGTTTCAAAGACATCAGTATTAAAGACCATCGAACCAAAGGACTCTATATCTAGAGTTAGTAAGCAAAAGTGTTAATTGAGTTCCAACGTCTGGTCAGAACACTACGGAATGCACAGATTTTTCTGGATGATCTTATATCTACAAGATTCGAAAAAGTTTTAGAATTTTCTAAAAGTTTCGATAACGTTTCCGGATGATAACCAAATTTTTCCTGAACAAAGCGAAGATAATCCTGTTTGTTCACAGTAGCAAACACGAAGACGTTCATTTCTTAGGTTGTTCTATAATGGTACAGCCGATTGCCATCAACCATGGCCAAACGACGCGGAAAATGAACATTTTTGCTAAGGGTTAAAGATTACAGTAAGGTTAATCCATATTTATGCGTTTAGTATCATAGATTTTCCTTGATCGAAGGTTCAACTGTATTAGATTTATAATTATGATTACTCACATCGTAGATTCTATGGTAATGAGTATTAGCATATGTATAATTGTCATTGCTCATTACAATAACTGATGTTGACCTAAAATGCCAAGCAATAAATGATCCTGCTTGAAACGATTTTTCACCGTCTCATTTTCGTGAAAACATTATTAAATATGAGTTTGATCCTTAAAATTCATTTCCAAGAAGTAAGACTTAGATGTTTTCGACGACAGTCTTTTTCTCGAAATCGAAAACTCTTACTGAGTTTAATATGTGAGGGAAAAACGCTAAGATAATGAGGTTTCCACTAAAGGATCTATTCTAACAAAATTTTTCTGGTGGGGGAAGAACGCCATAATGATGAGATTTTTTGCATCAAAGTAACTGTACTTCAAGACACCCATAGTGAGGGAAGAATGCCAGGATGATGAGGTTTTCATCAGAAGAACTGTTGCCGGAAACACCCCTGGTGAGAGAAAAGCGCCGATGATGAAATTTTCATCAATGGAACTGTTTTTCGAGACATTCTCCTGGTGCCGTTTTTCTCATTTCAATGCTGTTTCTAAATGCATCTAGCTACTTTATGAAAACTTGAAGAATTCTGGTTTTCGAATCGAATTATCGGACATACCAACAAATAAAATTGGAGGTATTGACCAAAATCAATATACGTTTGGCATATGCTACACATTTCTAATTTCAGTTACGACAGATTCCTGACTCAGGAGTGTCTTCATTACTTACCAGTCTATGGTGTTGTATTTTCGTTCGACTAGACTACAAATGAAATTTTTAATGGTTAATCTTCAAACAAAGAAACTTACGATAACGAACTTATTATTAGTCCATTCATTTTACTGACTCGATACAGAGAAGATTGATTTCATCACAGAGTGTTATACAGAAAATTATTCAAGCCCAAGAGATCTTTATTATAAACAGTGTTTTGTTATAAACAGTTGACACTATATTATATTTATTCAAAAGAAATACAACAATTTTACATAAAGTCAACAAATGGTTGGTTAGAAACGAAAAAAATTCATCACGAATACATATGGTGGTTTGGGTTTGTTTCAATACATGTGCATATAAGCTTACGAACAATTATGTATTTGCTGCATTACCGACGCGGCGTATTGATTAAAGGTATTACGGTGACGCTTTGGAAGCTTAATCCTATCTGGATTCTGGAATACAGGTTCGAAAACGTACTGGAGTTAATCGCTGCTGCTTGTACGTAATTTGTAATGTAACCTACGCTTTTAGTCCGTTTTAATCCGGAATCAAAACGGGTCTCAATTAATATTTACTGTGTCACGTTAAGTATAACAAATTCAACGATCTCCTCGCACTCTGTTATATTGGAATTTGAAAATTTTGCGGGGATATCGTTTGCCAAGTCCACCACTGTTCTAACGCAAGAATTGTTGATTTATTTATATTGTATTATTTATATACACGGCTTCGCTCGCAGAAATTATTATTGTTTCTCCATAAAACCTTTTAACTCTCAATTCACCCTTACAACGTTTTAATTTTATGTAATGTCGTCATCTTAGATTTCAAATACAAACGTAGCAACAACATTTCATCCTTAAGGGTTGATTTTTAAAAATTGCCAAAACACGTATTTGCTTAGAGTAGAAATAAAATATACCCCATAGAAACGTTCCAACCTATTTTCATTTAATTAATAATATCAAACAGCATATATACCAAGTTTCAAATAAATTCAGTCTGACGACAAACAATATATGTTCCATTTAAATATTGCAACTCCTCTTCACCACTCCTTTCTTCCACGGGAACGGAATAAAAAGTGTCGTATGTCCGTCTCCTGGTTGTAAGCTACCTCCCCACCAATTTTCAGCCAAATCGGTTCAGCCGTTCTTGAGTTATAAATAGTGTAACTAACACGACTTTCTTTTATATATATATATGGGTAATTTAAATAATATCCAATTTTTGTACTAATTGTAAGTAAATTTTTAATTAGTGTTCAACAAATTTGTTTCCATGCAGCCATTTACAAGAGTAAATATACAAACAATTACTATTATTTTATTTTAAAAAAATAAGATCAAAAGAAATGATCTTATCGTATAAAAATTGTCAGCAAAAGTTAATTTCGCTTATCTCACCTGATCGTAATCTAATTAAGATGAACATCATCACTCTTATAGTAATCTGATACTAATATCTGTGGTTCTCATGGACGTATCGAATTGTAGAAATAATTCTTGAGGGATCTCTCAATATCCGACTTTCTGGAATTAGCTGACTATCGGAAGTTCAATTTAATTATGGAACTGTGCAATAGGCCTACCATCGGTATCCAGGATGTCGTTTAATCAAAATTTCTAAATATAAATTAAGGTTCGGTCGTCGTAAGGTCAAAGACATGTTCTGATAGTAGCTGTAGTCAAAAGACCTCCGTTGCAATGATTATGTCAGATTAGACTACAGTATACAGGAACTTTGATTCACATGTGTGAAGTGTTGCGCACCTTCCTTGAGCTTTTGTTAGGTGAATATGACAAGAGAGGACACCCCGATTGGCTTATGTCAAATGGTATGTACCAAGAATTTGAGTTAGGTTGATGAAAAAGGTTTCTTTGATTGACTTTTATATGGAATAATATAAGCACTATGGGGCATGTTAGGTTAAAGTGAGAGAGGATTTTCNAACTTTGATTCACATGTGTGAAGTGCTACGCACCTTGGGCTTTTGTTAGGTAAATATGGCAAGAGAGGACACCCCGATTGGCTTATGTCAAATGGTATGTACCAAGAATTTGAGTTAGGTTGATGAAAAAGGTTTCTTTGATTGACTTTTATATGGAATAATATAAGCACTATGGGGCATGTTAGGTTAAAGTGAGAGAGGATTTTCCAATTGGTGTATGTAAAGTGCAACACCAGGGGTTTACGTTAGATTATGGTAGGAAAGTGATTCCGTCATTATCATATTTCTGATTGGTGCACATAAAGTCCAAATCCGGAGGTTTAGGTTAGGTTATGGTAGGAAAGGATTCCATCATTAGCGTATTTCTGATTGGTGTACATAAGGTCCAACTGCGTAGGTTAAGTTATGGTAGGAAAGGATTCCGTCATTAGCGTATTTCCGATTGTTG